ATTACTAATAATTTTCAGTACTTATTTTCTTTGAAAAGTTCCACTAGCGATTATGGCTGTTGTAAGAGAAAAGCATAGTCCAACTACCTAGTTTAGAGGTTAATTCCAAGTTTCAAGTCACTGTCTGGCCACAAAAGCAGACATCGCTCTCAGCAAGCTGCTAAAACCTAAGAAAAAATTTGGTGGATCCCAGCAAAAGAAGTTACAAGAATTCTTCTATGTAACTTGATATACCCCTACTCCCAAGTGAACCCAGATCCTTTTAATAAAAACACCCAACACAGAAGGACTACCGAAGTCCTCCAGTCGACTTGATCTTCCTTCACTGGAAGAATAGGTTTCAAAGTGTTTTTATGGTTAAGGCTACAGGGCAGGATCCTACTTTTTTACATCCCATTGAGAGGAGAGGTACCACCAAAGCTCTCCTCTACCAGACAAGTAAATTATTTTAAAGACAGCCACGTTCATCTAGCCAGTCACAGAAGAACAACACTTCTCCAGCTAGCTTCTCACTTTAAGGGGCAGCAAGTTTGCAGGAAAACCGTTTTCCTTCTTGCCAACCAAAAAACCCAAGTAAGCACCTTTTGATAGCCAGTTTAGCAATACAGAACATCCCATGAGTCCATTATCATTTTAAGCAAAGAAATAATGAGTCTAGGTACACAGAAGTTAGGAAAACTATCTTCTTTGGTTCTAGGGCAAACACTGCACGAGCACCTGCTCTCAGTAGTAATTGAACAGCAGTTGGCCCAGAGGTGAGGCAGGGGGACGACAGATTATCAAACTTTGTATAGGCTCTAGGAAAAGATTTGTGTCAGTCAATAATCCAGACAATTAGCAAGTATGAGAGATCCCAGAAGGGATATGCAGATAGAGGCCATTTAACTTGCTCATTGCGTTTTACAAAACCACCAAGATAGAGCAAAGTAGGAAGCAGCAGGTCTACTGAAGGAAACTGGTGGCAGAAAGCAGAGCACGTAACATTGGCCTAGCTACAAAGCACTACTCTTTCTGTACAGAGGTGAAGCTGAACAGATTGGAGAATTTTCATCCCAAGCACAAGGGACCAAATTTCAAGCAACTGAAATATGAAAGGGCTGTAAATTATGAGGACAGACAGAAACACACACAATGAGCAGAGTACCATGAACTAAACCAGAAAAAATACCCAGCATGTAATATCATAGGGTGACTTACAAACGTGTCTAATCTAGAGGTGATCTCTGAGCTAATGGAAAGAAACACAGCAAAATTAAAAAAAAAAAAAAAAAATCAGTCAAAAATGTAATTAAAATGCAGGAGCAAAAAAATTATTTGAGTAGTGTTACAGAAACATATAATAGAAATAATACCTTCCATTGAAATTTCAATTAAGCAGAAAAGAAAAGCTGAGCTCAGGCAAGAGACATAAACAAAGAACGTTTTATCAGTCTGTCTTCAAATTTATGCACTGTCAGTGCTCTTATTTCCCTGTATCACCACCACCACATCTGTGGACTCTGTCCTCTTCCCTGCCACCTATTCATTTTGAAATTTAAGAAAATCTTTTCCTCTTTCAGATTTAAAGATAATACTGAAGTGCCTATTTAAGTAGAGGAACCCAAATACTTCCTATTTCTGTTTCAATTCTAAAAACAGGTCCCCTATTAAGCAACTGTTTTGTAGAGTATGGCTGCATAAATATCTATGAAGTTCTCCAAAACACCATGCATCCTCATGTATCATTTTATGTTCCACAAGCACATGAATGGATCAAATAGTAAAGCTCTTCACATGTGATTGAACAGAGACAGGGAAAAAGATGGTGTTGAAAACTTACCAGGGATTTTGTGCAATAAAACCTAACAAAGAAAAGGAGAGATGTCAACAGGAAGAAATGGGATAAAACAATCCAAAGAGTACTTAAATAACTTAGATATATCAAAACCAGAGGAAAAAAATATGGAGAACATGTAAAAGACAACATACATGCTTATGAGAAGATGAAAGGCAAAAGGGCCCATCACCAGTTTAAGTGGGGTTCCAAACAAAAAGTGCTGGTAACAATTTGTGGAAAATGCTGTTCTTGGATGCATATACTAATGCCACAAATAAATGTGAACAAAACAAGTGGTATTTGATTTAAAGTATGGGGGGAAAAAAAGTTCTGTTTCTTCTTCACGTAAAAAAATAGGCGTGAAACGGGTTTCCTATGACAACGTACAAAGGGACTGTTCTTTCAAGATCAGAATAGAGGATACAAGAATTAAACAGACACCACCACACTATATTACAGATAGATTGACTACTTCTTTGAACCCTGTGCTGCAGATTTTTTCATCACTGACTTCAAAGGAATAAAAACACCAGACAAGATATGAATAGTGTACTGGCATTTAAGTGTGGTGTTTCCCTCTGTGATGCAGTCTATGACTGAATTTGTATTGGAATCTACAGGCACACACATTCAGTAGCATGTTACAAATTTCCCAAATGAGCATAAAGGAACGATGCGGAGGGTTGCAGGAAAGTATCCTAAGAGCGTACTGCAATTGTAACTGCAGTGTATGTTCTCATTAATTACGTGGAACTTTAATGGGAAAAAAAAAACCCAACCTTGATTAGAACAGGAAAATTTTCTCCCCAAAAGCAGAAAAATCTTCAATTCAATTGCCGTATCTAAACCCGGAGCAAATAACTTCTGGATGTCATCACATACCCCTCCATATTAGCACCAGAAACATTGTCCAATTTTCCAATTAAAGAATAAACAGAAACTTTGTTGGTCAAAAACCTTACACTCCCAAGGAAAAAAAGTTACTCTGAAATACTTTCTGAATATTACAATAAAGCTTTAAAAAAAGACTTTTAAAAAGTTTATAGAAAATTCTAGAAAATACATAAAAAGCCAAATGACACGGACAAAAGAATCCAAGATAGAGAATGTCCGTCTATTCATAAGCGCAGCCATAGCAGAAAACCAATTCAGGTCATCTCCTCAGCAATGCTGAGAGAAACTTTAAATTTTTTCTGAAACAATGATCTTCCCTGCAGTATTTTAACTCAAGTCTTCTTTGTTACAAGACTGGCATAGAAGCAGTAATATTAATACTAGAAATTGTAATTATTACTATTCTGGAAATAAGTTGAAAGTATAAAGTTATCTATGGCACTTTTTTTTTTCCTGGGTTTTGGAGCATTTGCTAAATGAAAACACCACCACAAAAGATACATGCTAAACTCCAATCATGCAAATCATCTGCAGATGTGTAAAAAAGGGGGACTCAAGCCACCAAAAGAAAATGCCAACTAGATAATCAATTTAAAGTAAAAGGCAAAAACCCCCAAGTGTTTACTGGGCAGATGTGATTCAGAAAGAAGCTCTTTCCTACGGACTCTTTAGATTTCTCTCAATGCTCTCTCTAGCAGCTCTTAGAGTTTGAAATCCAGCACATACCAAAAGAAAGGAAATATAAAATATCTTTCCAGTCTCAGAAATGTAGAAGCCAGTCCATGTGATAACAATGAACTGGGTCCATACATGAGAGCACAGAGATACGAGACAAACTAAAAAGCAGTGCTTTTGGAAAAAAGGCATATGTTCACAAAATAACAGGAAGAACAAAGCAAGTAGGTTAGGCACATAAGCAGTGAGGGAAAAGTCATCACCAGTAAAAGGTTGCTATCCTCATCCTTGAGTGGAACTGACCCATGCTCTTAAAATAAAACACCTTTTAAACAGTGCTGTCTGTGCTGTGTAGAAATAGCTAAGCTGAGGAATGGAAATTCGTAGTATTTCTTTTCTAGGAAGTTGGACTTTAGAAATCTTCTGTAAAATAAAATTACTGATAGAGTCAGTGACTGTGGGAGAGGTAGTAAAGTCTCCTCTTCACTTGCACAGATAAATCCCCATATGTAGGCTCATTCAAATACTAACAGAAGCAGAGACCAAAAAAAGATGACTTCCATGAAAGAAGATGACATCATTTCTGTTTCAGAAAAGGCTATGTAAGAGCATGCCAGTGCTACTGAAGTAACCATTGAGGAAACTGAAAAAACAAAAGTATGTATGATGGCAAAATGATGCAACAGTTCTGCCAAATTTAATTTTGATTTTTAATATTTTTGTTAATACAGCAACCCTGTATTTCAGAGCAAAGTGCATTTTTAACCTTAAAAAGTTAACAAAAAAAAGGAAGCTTTAACAGGTATAATCCCATGTCAACAGTTTATTTTCAGTGCAAGTTAAAATACAGTTATTGCTTTAGTACACAGAATACACCTTCATTAGACTAGTCTCTATTTTTGGAATACATATTCCCTTGTGAATTATCTGGCGCTAGAAGATGCAGTTTTACAAGCGTCAACGTGTCATGAATGTGATCAACTGCGACACAAGGACTACATTGGAGAAAAAGGTATGGCAGGCTGAGAAACACCTGGCTTTAAGAATAACAGATTCTTCATCTACTGGAGAATGGGCATTAATCACTTGTACTCCATCAGTAGCATCCTAACCTCCTCAAGACGGCACATCAATGAGGCTGGTTGTGCCTTTGTATCTTGCACAGAAAACACTAGGGGTTTTAAGTTCTTTTACATGATGTCTACAGTGAGATGCACTATGTGTGACAGATACATTCTATGGCAAAATAAGCAGCAAACCCCCCTACTCCTGCTACTGTGTACAAACAAGTAATCTTTTACAGAAGTTATAGTGATTTTTAAATAAAAGCCTGATTTATCTATCAATCATACAGTTTTATGAGTAGTCTCTTCTGCTACTGAGTGAATGAAGAGAAACTTTTTTTTGTGGGAGACAGATTTTCTAGAAGACTAGTGCAATTTACCACCTTTCACTACCAGATAATTTATTCAGACTGATTGGAACCAGAATTATCACATGACATCTGGTCAGTAGAACTTGTTACCTGAATCAGCAGGGTTAATGGTTGCTACCATGCAGATGACCAATTCACAGCAACTGGCATCAAAGAGCCATGGACTGAAATAAACTGAAAAATTAATTCACTTTGCACTCCTAAGCTCGAGTCCTCCTTTCTGCACGAGGATGGCAAAGAGCAGACACATCAGTAAAAATATGCTGATACTCTTCATGTCTAGTAAATGCAACTTTAATTTCTAAGATTTTTAGTATGGCACTTCAAATTAAAACTCAAATCACATTCTAATTAAAATTCCCCAAATTGTTAATTTTCAAATATCACGACTAAACTATGTTTGTTAGATACTTGTGATAATTGCTGCTCTAACAAATCCTTCTAAGTATTTGTCAGGAAAACCTGTCTCATGCCTATTCCTTACTTGCATTTTGACATCTTGCAAAAAAGTTAAAAAACTTACTCAAATACCAACATTCTAGTTGAACAAAAGTTACTGGTTTGCTCAGTTAAATATTTTGCAATGGGTTAAATATAATTTCTGGTATGTCTAGTAAAGTTCTGTAGAATAAAACACCATTATTTAGAATCTTCTCTGAATTTCAGTGAAGTGCTACGGCTTGCTACATACTGCAGTGTTGATACCCGATAGGACAGAGTTCTGCAGAAACTAATGCAACTTCAACCATTGTGCACAACACACGCAGACTTAACTGCCAGTATTTCCATCCAGACTTACTAGGAACAGACATCCTCATGGTGAAACTGTAGACTGAAACGTACATAGTAAAGTGCTCTTAGAGAGAAAGACCGTATATTCCTTGAAGAATTCCGTGATGCAGGGAAAAGAAAATCGCAAAGTGGGAGAGAAGCACGCAGCATGTGAAGAAGCCTTTGAGCAAGCAGGATGTTTTTTTCTGACAGGAAGCAGCAGTTATATCTCTACAAAAATGGCTGGCAAGATAGCACCTGCTATTTAAAGCCTCTACCATTCCAGTTTTACAATGTGAACACACAAATTCTCAAGTTTAACACTAGCATTAAAAATTCTGATTGCATTTTTTCTGTTTGAAATTGTCAGCAAGTGCAATACATACTATAGAAATTACAAATCTAATGCGCTTATGTAGGTGATCAGAATAATTTTTTTCTCCATTCCTTTGGAAGCAAAGGATATTCCTGATAAGCTGGGGATAGTGTGAGAGAACCTACCTTTGCCCAAAGAGCTCCAGAATACAACTGCAGAGTATAAGTCAATTTAATGTAATAAAATAATTGTCTGAGTGAATTTAGCTTTTTATGTTCCTAGTCTTAATAACACATGCTTACTTGTAAGTCTCTGGAGAACAGGGACTTTCAGAAGGGCAACAGTGATCCACAGAAGTCCATATTCATCAACATTATTGATATTCCTAATCACTACATTTAGAAAACTAGCCAAGACAATAATGATTTTGAGAATATATACATTGCCAAAGAGAAAACACCTTATACATTCATTTTAAGTAGGTGGAGTTCCTGCTAGGGAAGCAACAAAGAGTTGCTGCTGTGAGAATTTAAGAGCATAAAGCAAGATCTGTAGGGGAAAGACATCATATTATCCAACTTTATCAGCTGACCTAAAATAAGGAAGTTTCCGTGTCCTTAAGACAGGTTAGTGTGGCATTTTTAAAAACAAAAAAACCCTGAAAAAACACCTCTTTTTTTTCCTAACTATATCAGCTAGTCTAATTAAAAACATTATTTCTGCCTGCAAATTATGCATGAATAAGAAAGAGCAGAAGGCAGATGTAAGGATGAGGCAGGACTCTTCTTGACCAGGCACAAACAGCAAGCAGTAACACAATGCACCATACCAAGCTGCAAACCCAGACAACCTTTAGAAAATTGAGATACCTTGCTAAAAATTTTTAGATCTTGTACTATTGTATTTTTACAAGTATGCTTGATAGCTGTCCAGGTAGCACTTTCTGTGTGCAACTGTTCCTTGCTACTGATTACTTACAATTCAGAAGGGGGCATTTTGTCTACGGATACGAAATGTGGTGTCATTCCTTTCTAAACTCATCTGTAGCAGAAACAGCAGAATGAATTGGGCTTGGACTTTATTTCAAGACAAAGCAACTTCTATTTTTTAAGATAATTGCAGTCTCAAAATTATATTTAATATTGTGCAGTCTTCTGTTAATATGCTTAAACTTGGAAAATTAATTTTATAATTTGGTTTTAGACATAAAGGTCAGTCAAGACCTGGGATAGGTGCGGACATGAACAATGAAATACACTATGTAGACCAGCTTTTGCCTGAAAGAAGAAAAAAAATTCTGTAACACCCATTTCATCTAGGCATAAAAGCTGACATTTGCAAACACACCAGGTCTACTTATGGCTCCCTGGAGAATTTAGAAACATGATCTAGAGAAATGCACCTTCAAGAACAGCAACGACAAAGCAGATGGACAAACTGAGGCTGCTTTAAGAGTAAAACAATCACCTAAATTACTTTTTTCTTTCAAAGCAAACATTTTCAATCTATTTTAATTGTGCACGTGCTTTAGAGCTTTACAACGCTGCCTGCACAATATGTTTCAGGACTGCATAATTTTGAAGCAAACAAGAAAGCAGCAAACTAAGTCCATAAAATGTGTCACTGGGTACCATTATAAAGGCTGTATAGAGACTAACTGAAAACACATATGCATATAAAACAACTGCATATGTATCTATAGACATCTTTTTACCTCACTGTTATTACATAAGCAGAAGAGCTTTGAAGATGTTGACAGCATACTAGCACATCTTCCATCTTATTTACAACAAATTTTCATTGCTTGTAGGAGGACTCTTAATTACTTAAACTTCAGTAATTATTAAGTCAAACAAAGCATTAATCACTATGGAATAACCAAACATTTATCATCTCCGGAAAATGTTCCACTAAACATTAAGAAATCTTTCCAATCCAAACAGCGTGCATTTCTTTGGGCATGTTAAAAGCTGGAAAACAAACTAAAAAAGTAATGCATTTCTGATATAGTCTTTTGAAATTCAGTTCCTTACGTCATTTATGCTGGTGTACAACGGAAGGTAACTAAAAATTAAATCACAAGGATTTTTTGTTCCTTTGTTTAGCTTTTACAATACTGAATTCCTGTTTTGCAAGATCACAGGGTAAGTCAGGTTGGAAGGAACCTCAGAAGTCTCTTGTTCAATCTCCTGCTCAAAGCTATTGGGTCAGCCCAGGTTGCTCGTGTTTATACAGTTTTATTTTGAAAGCTTCCAAAGACAGAGACTGCACAATAAAATTAAGCAAAATTCTCACACTGTTCTACCGCACTAGTATGAGAACAGCTAAAAACCCAAGCAAATAACTGAAAATAAGACCCTCCATCTCTCTAGTAAAAATGGCATTTTAAATGTGTTTTCCACTGGACTACAGAAGGAGATAAACCAAAATATTTTCTTTTTTAGAACATTTAACTTTACCATAACACTTATTTTACTAGTGGCAACATACCTGGAACATCAAATGAGTTTGAAATCAAACTTCTAGGGATTCCCATTAGACTTGCACTTAAGTGGGAAATTACTTACCTGTGAATACCGCTTATACATCAATTTCTATCTCCAAATATTAAAGAATCATGAAAATTCTCTTTTCAAAGGAATATGTTTTACTTTAATCTGAAACTCTATGCCCCACCTCAGGACAAGTTTCTCCCATGGAAATTTTGGGCGTGGGAAAGGGGAACAGGGAAAAAAATCGGCTCTTCATTGAATTGAAAGAAGATTTTTTCCTAAGTGTCCTGATCATTCATAAAGCCAGGAAGAACCTCAACTTTTGATGAAAAATAGTTCCCAATGAGCATTAGGCCTTGTGTTAAGCAAGGAAGAATACTGAAGTCTCGCTATGCAAATTCTCAATCTGAGGACAATAAATTCTTATTAGAGCTACTCCTTCCTTAAATCTTAACACACATACAGAAAAATAAAGCAGAATAGGATCATCTTGGAGAAGAAAGAAAGAAGACAGCTATAAAGAGAAGTTCAAGTGTAGAAATATTGTATAAATAGTTAGACTTGATTTTCCCAAATATATAAGAATAGTGATAATCAACTGGATCCTGAGCTACATTTTTTTAATCAATTCATCTTACTCTGTGGGAACTAGAATAGCTACAGTTAAGTTCCTAATTTATCAGGTGTTATGAGTCTTTTCAGAGTAAGGTTTTTTAAAGTGATGGAATTTTAAAAAGTAAGATTTTAATGTAACATTTAACATATTTTCATGCTCCATCGTTCTAAATAACAAGCCAAAGAAAAAACCTATTGCACATATGGTAGAAAATATTCATCTGCCAGTACACACCAGAAAGCTGGGTTCGTTTTTACTAAAATATATTGGTTTTCCCAGTTTTAAGCAGCCAAGGGAACACATTCCTCAGCCTTTTTGAATGGAAATTTTAAGTTTATTCTCTGAGATCTTGGGGATCTGGTAGAATCACCTATTCCAGTCCTGTTATAGTTAACTTTCAGTTTCTCAGGTCAGGCTCATGCTTAAATAGCAACAATCAGTTCCCTTTAAAAGCTTATTTTTGTGAGCAAAAAGGTACAGACAATTTCTATGAATCATCAAAAACAGTTAAAAGATAACTTTCTGTCTTCAAAGACAATATATGCAAGATACTTGCAGTCCTTGCCTTGTCTACACCAGAAAATTATACTGAAGTGATACAACTACTTCTTCACATGGCTGTAGCTAGTTATATCTGGAATATCTCAATTCATACAAAATATGACAAATATTAAGAAAATCCTGCATTTTAAAAAAAGATATGTAACTAACCTGTGCTTTAAATCAAACATAAACCAGAACTTGACAGACTGTGTAATGTATCAAAATAACATCTTGCAGAACAAGAAATATCAGATGCTTCCACTGACATAATAATTACAAATAGTAATCCAAACTGCCTGGGATGGAAGAAATGTTAAACTTAGTCTGTGAAACCTTTTATAAGATAAAAAATATTTTGAAAAGTTGTCGTTTTCTCCTATATAGCTGTACTTCTGATGCTTACAGCTGTGCTTCTTTGAAGCTGACACTTAACAGTCCTATCATTTTTAGTTGAAAAAGCTGTAAAAATCCTTTCCTCTATAAAATACTAATTTATAAAACTTCCAAGACATTTACTTGCAATACACACATATACTTTCAGCAGTAAAAATCAAAATGTCTTCCCTTGAAAAGTGTTCTGTTTTCAGCAAAAAGTCTTTATCTGTAAATAGCAAAATCACATGACAGTTTGTATTTTCACTGTGAAACAAATCTCAGTTACTTGGAAAGTTCTGGCACTGTACTTTGAAAATTAATGTTTATTGCATGTTTGCATGCTTAATCTAATCAACCACTTTTTGCAGAAGCATGCAGCATGTATGTGCTTTGATTATATTCTCAATTGAAGCAATCCAGAACTAGCCTTAGGTCTGAAGAGCAACTATTAGATATTTCCATTTTAGAGCTGTTAAATCAACAAACTGGGGGGGCAGGGCAGGGCAGAAGATTCATATTACTTCTTAGGGACTAATAAAAAACATGAAGAGTTTTAATCAACTGGTAGAGACAGCTTTCTCCTAGTTACAGTAGGAATGATGGTATTGTTTGGTCACTAAAATAGCACTCCATACTCATCTTCCAAATGAATACAGAACATGTTTGTAAGTCTACTCAAACTCATCAACCTGAGTCTCTTAAGTCGTGACATAGAATGTAAAATTTAAAAGAGATTAGGGGGGGAAAAATGTGTATGTATATGGGTACTAATATTATGTATTTACACACACACACATATTATAGTATATATATACACAAACTCTTGAACTAGCCCTCTCATGAGAACATAAGGCCAGGCAGGTATGGAAGAGAGAAAAAAATACCACCATATTTTAGGGAAAACATTTGCAAACTATCTCCCCATCTCCCACTACCTGGCTGTCCATATGAATGTGTAATCTTAAGTATGAGAACTGCAGTGTTATTCACATGATAAAACTTGATGCAACGTGTCTCACTACTAAAGCCAGGCTACCACTCAGTGTTAAATGTACTACAATAGGAAGTAATTTGAGTATCCAAAATTGAGATGATGCAAAAGAAAATATAAGTTGCTTTGCAAAGTCTATGCTTACCTAGATGCACAAAAGCTTTTATTACAGTAACTACAGGGTAAGAGGAAGAGAGAGAAAAAAAAGTGGTCCATTTAATCCACACACAAAAGAAAAGTGGAGTCAAGAAGCCTGCAAGGGAAGTTTTGAAGGACTGACATGGATTATTTTCACGAGGGAATTGTGGGGTTTGTTTTTTTGAAGACTTCTACCATTTATTCTGAAATAGCATATTTCCATAGTTACACTCTGGTAGGAAATGTATGTCAGACAAATATTCCATTATAAAAAAAAAAAAGTGAAGTGCCCAATGCTGAGTATTTATCCACATCAGATTTTATCAGAGAAGATGAGCTACTAACATGACTTGCGTAAGACTAACTCCAGATGATTTTGTTTCTGTTGAGAACCTTTGATATGCTAAATACTGGTGAGTAGATACCAGGAGGCCACCATCCTTAATGCATATAACTTGCATCCTTTTCAACAATTACACTTGCGCTGAGAAAGGAAGACTGGTATTGTCTTAGCATCAGTATTTAAATGCCCCTGTTGTTCAGGATTTTTTTCATTAGTATCAACATAATCTGATTAAAATAGTGTTTTTCTTTCTCAACTAAGATGAGCAGGGCTTGAGGACAAAGCTTACTGCTGCATCAATGGTCCTCACTGTAGGTGAAATCCTGACCACTATACAGAGTATTGTACCATATTATGTTTAGAACAGATGACAGTAAAGTTATCAGTACTAAGGTCTTCATACTAACAAATCATAAAAAAGGTTTCACCTAGTTTAGTATGTATCTACCCCTTGCAATTATCAAACACACAAAAGGAAGCAGATACAAGAAATTGTAATGACGCAATCATAAAACCGCTTAAGGAAGTACTGTGTATTTAAGCAGCACTGAGTTGGCTGTCCTGTGAAACACTAGGGTTTCTCGATATTCCTCCAAGCTTAACAAAATATATTTACTACAAGTATTAGCCTATTTAGTGTAAAATTTGCCCTTGGACTCAACGTGACAGTTTATCTAACTTTCAGCTTCAGGATAATTTTCAGGGAGGAAGAGAGTTTTCAAAACTGAATCTGAAATAATGTCATTCTCGCAGAGAGCCTCTTCATTCTTTTCTCATGAAAAGCATTGACAGAACTATCTAACTTTTTTTACAGTATGGTGCTGTGGCTCATCTCTTGAGCTCTTTCATTCACTCTTTGAGAATTCTACACATTCTTAGTTATTAACTTCCCAGGATTTTTAGAACACTAGATTCTAGATGAGAATCACAACTCTAAAATGTACTAAGTTGTACTTCAATGTTACTCAAAACTGAACTGTAATAGAAACCAAATATTTTTAGGCATATCAGATGCAACCAGCTCCAAGAGCAGGCTTCAATATGCTCTAATTCTTCTGTCATTGTTTTAGGAAGCAGAGAAAAGGCATCCTGAAGCTACCTCCTAATCACCACCTTTTAATCACAGAAACCAAGGACCTCAAGTATAGTTGATAAAAAGGAAATTTTTGTCCAATCCAGAACACTTCCCAAATAGAAACACGATAAATCAACATAGCAGGAAGTTTCTTTCTCAAATCTCAGATGGACTTTTACATCTAACACAAATAGAATTGGATATTTTAAAAAGTCTACCTCTAATAAAGTTTCCTATACAGAGAAACCCAAGACACTGTAGCCTTGAAAGTTATATTCAAGAATAAAACTGAGTTGCTAGATGACACCTGAACACTAGTAGCCTCAAGCAAGAAAAGACTGGATTCTTCCCTTCTAGAGTAGGTTATACCCACCACCCAAGCAAGCAGCAATGACTGAGGTTATCTAGGAACTCAGGAAAGTGTATATGTATTCATACTCCCAAGTCCCTGGTTTTTCTTAACTCTGGAAAAAGTG